TGGAATTAGCCCGGCGATCGCCTCCCCAATTAACGGGACGGGTGTGACATCCGGAATCATTCTACATTTTCGCGACCCCGGAATGGAATGGAACTAAGCGTCTTTGGTAGGGGAATAGAATGATGACTTTAGCCGTAAATAAAGCACCTTTTTTCCACACGCAATTTTTCAAACTTCGAACATTAGTAAGTCAATGCGGGGGCGTAGGATGCAATTTTTTTTGAGAAGGGTTGAGGGCCACATCCTTGCTTCGAAGTCAGGGCTGGCCATGTAGGCAGATGTGATGGAGTACATTTTGTGCTCGGTATGCCATCCAATAAAAAAAAAGGAAGGGGAGGGCAAAGTACAGGTGCTAAACTCAGTCAGAGTCTGAATTTAACAATACATCAGTTTTTCTTTTAAATCTCTCAGTTGAAAAACAACTACGGTACATTTATAAGCAACGTGCCTACAACAATTCTGTCCGTATATAAGAGTGTGTTGCCTAGAAGTTTGTCTATTATTCAAGGGACCGCAGCTCTATGCCGTCGTGTGGATATATGGTAGCGGCATCACCCCTCCCGACCCCCACCTTGTGGTTTTTACCACATGCTTCGCATTACGTCGATTCACAGGTACGTAGGGTCTGCCGAATTTTTTCCCCCTCAACATATCAATAATCTCCATATTCACGACCTGCGAAAATGCTGTAGGCCCGTGTGCTCAGATTGGGGTGCACGTTAAAGAACCTCAGGGGGTCGAAATTTCCGAAGCCCTCCACTACGGCGGCTCTCATAATCACATGGTGGTTTTGGGACGCTAAACCCCACATATCAATTAAATCATATTCACGACCACTCCAGACGCATGGCGAAACCGCTTATTCTTCTTGAACACTACTTTTGTCAGAATAAATACACGCTATGTTGGCGTTAGCGTTAACACACTTTATACTAAACAATAATAAAACACGACCATTTGTTGAAACATGTTGACCATGAAAATACTACAGTTAGCGGGAAAACTGTCCCCATGTGTATAGGTGTTGTGCTGCACGAGATATGTCACGAAGTTGACCCCTCGACCTTGGTAACGTCTTTTCCGCATTTTTGCAGTTCTTTTTTTCTATTCACATACTGCAGCCCATTAGGGCTATAGCAGGAGTGGGTGAAAAAAAAAACAGAGCAGTGAATTACAAAAGTACCGCTTCCGGGAACACATTACAATATAACACACGAACAAAATACAATATACATGGCAATTCCATTCAGTACAAAAATAAACATCCAATGAAAGGGCACTGCGGGGCGTACATATTAACAGAACAAAGCAAGGAACTATTGGTTAGATACGATTTCCAAGAGAAGGCAGGAATTGATTTATCGATGCACCCCTAATCTCACCCGGCAGTAAATACCATTGTTCTATCGTTTTAGAAAAAAAGCTAAATTTGAATAGATTGGTGTGTGCGTGAAAAGGGGCGAGGTTTAGGGCATGAATATTTCGAGTAATGGTTGGCATAGCATAAGTAAGATAGCTGTTATCGGAGAGACGGTTAACATGAGTGGAACTGCACTGGGAATCAACGTGACACAACCTAGCATCACCTATCTAAAGCCTAGCAATGACCGAGACACAACCTAAAAACAACCTGCATCACTTGGCCTTCATAAGGGGCGTAGCCATAACCGCGAAAATTTTATATACCTAAGGTGTCGCGGAGTTGTCATTCCAGAATTGGAATAACTCCTGAATCATTCTACATTTTAGCGACCCCGGAATGTAAAGGGAATTAAATTAAGCGTCTTTGGCAGGGGAATGGAATGATGTCTCTTGCTTTAAATGGCACCTTTTTGTACACACGCTATTTTCAAACTTCGAACATTAGTAAGTCAATGCAGGGGCGTAGGATGCTTTTTTTTTTTTTCGAGAAGGGTTGATGGGGCACATCCTTGCTTCGAAGTCAGTGCCGGCCATGGAGACAGATGTGGTGGAATGCATTTTCTGCTCGGTATACGATCAAAAAAAAAAAGGGGGGGGAGCAAAGTCCCGGCGTTAAACTCAGTCAGAGCCTGAATTTAACAATAAATCAGTTGTTTTAATCTTAAATCTCTTAGCTGATAATCAAGTATGGTACATTTATAAGCAACGCACTTACAACAATTCTGTCGTATATAAGAGTGTGTTACCTCAAAGTTTGTCTATTCGTGTAACCGCAGCTCTATGCCGTCGTGCGGATCTACGGTAGCGGCCTACCCCCTCCCAACCCCCACCTTGTGGTTTTTACCGCATGCTTCGCATGACGTTGATTCACAGGTACGTGGGATCTGTCGATTTTTTTCCCCTCAGCATACCCACATTCTCCGTATTCACGACCTGCGGAAATGCTGTGGGCCCGTGTGCTCAGATTGGGGTGCACGTTAAAAAACCCCAGATGGTCGAAATTTCCGAAGCCCTCTACTAAGGGATCACTCATAATCATATGGTGATTTTGGGACGTTAAACCCCACATATCAATCAAATAATAATCATGACCACTCCAGATGCATGGCAAAACTGCTTATTCTTCTTGAACACTACTTTTGTCAGCATAAATATACGCTATGTTGTCAATTTAGCGTTAACACGTTTCAGACTAAGCAATAATAAAACTCGACCATTTGTTGAAACATGTTGACCATGCAAATACTACAGTTAACGGGAAAACTGCCCCCATGTGTATAGGTGTTGGGCTTCACGAGATGTGTCACGAAGTTGACCCCTCGACCTTGGTAACGTCTTTTTCGCATTTTTGCAGTTCTTATTGCATCTGATGGCATCAGCTTTATGGGGCGGTCATCCTTCGCCCGATAAAACTATCAAGGTGCTTTCCTACATCGAGAAATTACAGGAATGAGATAGAACCGCCCAGTCATTCCCGGAGAGGGAATGGACAAAGGCTTCTTAATTCCAAGCAATTGAAAGGAATGTAATTGTGGCAAGTTCTAATTCCCCGGAAGCGAAATCGAATGTAATGGAGGCGGCCATTCCGCAACACTGATACGCGCACATATATAAGCGCACGTATGGACATACATGTATGGTTGAACCACCCTCCCCCACCCCCCCCCCAAAAAAAATCGGCTACCCTTTTGTTCAAAATCGTCCACTTTCGCTGTTTCAAGGTATACGCGCATACAAATTTTGCTTATTTTTGTATAGTATATGAAAAACCGTTGTGCGGTAAAGACGTAAAAGTATAAAGATTTGCTTTAAAAATCATTAAGACTGCTTCGCACTGTCATCAAGCCTGAACGAGTGCGCTGAAACAGCGTGCTCATGAGATGCGTTGGCGGCGCAACGGGCATCTCACATTCATAAGATGAGCGCTACACTGTTGTGAGCATCCATACTGCGATTCGCGGCATCTATCGCATTGAGTACTCACTAATATCCTCTGTCTCCCCCCTTCACACAGCTATAAACTATCCCATGTAAATTTATACTAGCTTACAATTAGTAGATGTCGACTGAGCAGAAAAAAGCTCGTCTATACAGGCGAGCGCGCGTACACAATCCAAGCCGCGTCGTCTGCAAAAAAAAAAAAAAAAAAAAAGTCAGTTTACGAACCAACGTTTTTGTACAAACCACCGTGGCTGGCTGCAAATCGATGCCAGCGACACGTGTGGGTTAACTAGCTTTTGGCGCCCACTCATCGATGGGGATTTCCCAACTGGTCTTTTTCTACGGTGTCTATCGTCCGTGGTGCTTTCGCATAGTGGCGCGACATTCAAATGCGTATTTTCATCTGTACTGCGAGATCCGTTCGGCTAGCGGGACAGAGTCGGCATGAAACTCGGTAACGGAGTTAGATAGTTCAGATTGTAGGAAAGGCCCGCTACGGGGGGCGCTAAGCGCGTCCTGCAAGACAGAAATAAAGTTTTTCCGTTCATGTGGAAATGCAATGCGATCGCCTCACACTCCTTCGGTAACTGACGCCAAATGTTTTATTTATTTTTAATTCATTATCCTATCCTAATAAAACTTGAATGTGCATCATTGAATGGAGATTTAAAATCTGCAAACATATATCAAAGATCTCATTTAGAAAAAAAAAGTGAAGACACATTTCCGCATTTTAATTTGGCGATTTCTTACGAGTCGTCATTGTAACATACAATTCAAGACGTTACCTTTCAGAGCTACGTAGTTCTTCTAAACGTTGCAGCCAACAGGTTAAACCAAATCAGATGCCAGAAGATCTATTTTTTAATTGGAAATAATTTTCAAACCTTAAAAGGAAATATCAGCTTATAGTAATTAGCTAATACTCATCAGATAATTACGTTTGCATCGAGGCCGAGAAAAAAAAGTGAAGCTTTAACCTGTATACGTCAGATACTGCTGAAATACGTCTCGTATAATACCCTGCATATGTGTAGCGGGAACATCGCTTATGGCGTAGTGGGTGCTGTCCTAGTTCAAAAACATACTTGGGCCCCAACACGAAGCTGTGATCAGAGTTCACATTCAGCAGTATTTTGATCCACCATGATTTTTTTCGTAACTGCGTTTTAATGTACTGACGCTTTTTTTCTTGTGCGTTTCAGAAACTTTCTGCATTACTTGGTATATTAAGAAGGGTCAAGATAAGACACGAGCAACGAAGGAAGACACATTAAGAGTACATATTTTGCGTGTCCTCTTCACTTTCGTTTGTCCGTGTGTTAATGCGCTTTGCCTTCCTTAGAATTATCAATTAGCTTCTAGACTTACCAAGCATGGGATATTTTCTGCAGCAGCGTTGGTCCCGCCCAGTCACCAGGAGCGCGAACACGTGTAGCTGTTCGTAACGCCGCCATTGCGACAAATGAACTGAACGAAATGTAGCCGTGTCCTTGTCGCTTTGAAGAAACTTTCTTCCTCTGAAAGTCGTTTTCGACGAACGTCGTGCTATATGAAACGGTCGCTAAAACATGTTGAGAGCAGCCACTAAAAATTGTGACGCATGCGTAGAGTTGGAAAGGGGCCACAAACGTATCTCGTTTTATTTGCGCAGTAACGCGCGGTTATTTATTTGTTGGTTCATTGAAACATCTTCTTTTACATTTTTCACTGGGCACGAATTCGTCGCCAGTGTTTAGCACACGCAGCTAAAACAGATAAAATCAAAACGAGTCGACACTTATATACACACAACGTGGCAGGACGCTCGGCGCTTATGGCACACGGGTGAAAAAAAAAAACGAAAAGAAATTGTCACTCAGTTAAAGGCGTGCTCCTTCCAATCGATCACCTGTACAACTATAAACAACAAACAGAGTGCTTCTACAATGCTCGACACGAGAGGAGAGGACAGTCAGGGCGGGGTTTTAATTGCGCCAATGTCCAACAACATAATAAAATATAAGTACGTGAAGTCACAATATTTCAAGAACAGAGTAATAATGCATCTAGAGGCATTTGTTATGGAGGACTTCGTATAACTGAATAACAAGAGATGAACAGGACCACTAATATACTCGGAACCAATAACAGCTGTATCAAGGACTTATGAGAAATACAACTAAAAAATTTTTTTCACAAAGAAATTCTTTGCGTCTTTTTTATGTGTCACATCTAGTTTTATTGAAAAGTCGTCTCTATTAGTCTTGTTACTCGCACGAGGCCTAATTGTTTAGAAAACTTCTGTTGAAACTACAGAGAACGATCGCCAATGCGTCCACGTCAATTGCCTTTCCACATCATGCGGTCTGAGGAAGACTGCGGCATACTTCCAAGATAGTCGTTTTTACAGATTCTGAACGGTAGCATTCTATATATTTCTATACGAGTAAACGATATTCACCTTGTAGCAGAAAAGCCGGTGAAAATAGAACTGAGTCATTGCATGGTTTTGGAGCGGCTATACACATTCGAAAAATAGCAAGCGTAAAAAAAAAAATAGGTCTGTCAACTTGTGTTATTTATTTATTTATTTATTTTTTGGCAGCCTGTATAATTTCGCAGTGCGCTGAAGTTTCTATATTAGCGTACGTAAATGCCTAATATGAACGACAAAAAGATGTTTACGCCAACCGCACAATTTAGAGGACTAGATTTAATTGCTCCTTGAGAGCTGCACATTATATCAAAGTTCAAAAAAAAAACCGCGTAAGCTTCAGCATTCCTTCATGCGAGTCTTGCTTACAACAGCCTGCCAAAATGAAAGATAATACCACAGCCTAACTTTGAGTAGTCACCGAACAGACGCTGCGCCAGACTGTTGAATATGTCGGGCCCCAGACGAGAAGTTTTTTAACAGAACCTGACGCAGCAAATGACCAGGTGCAACAGATGACCCGAGTACTTAACAAAATAGAACAAAACATTCACAACAAAAAGTTGCATATAAGACTACAAAACATCTCAGGGACATCTATAAACATTCTTAGACGTAACACACAAGAGACGGCACAACAAGCTATGCGATCGCGTTCCTGAGGTTTTCTTTGGTCGCAAAAAACAGGAATAACAATCTGGCACTATTTGATTGGCATTACAATGACTAGAACACAAATAGCTCGCGATAGAGAAAGCATGCGGACAGTTGTTCAATCCCAGCATTCGCGGTTGAATGCAATATTCAACCACACGTCGACAGTGCAGATCATTTGCACGCGAATGACAGAGGTGAAGGTGATGCCGCATGACCACAGATATCAATTTCGATACAGGTGCTGATTCAACGTAATCACTTTTGGAACAGCAGTCTGGGTCAGTTATTTAAAAAATAACTCTGAGCCGTAGGAGATACCCAATGGAGACACAACCAACTCTATAAAAATCGTTTGAGAAGAAGAAAGTATATCTTTCACCCTCGAGTCGTCTTCTGTAATGCAAAAGGGGTTCTGTGACGTTTTTATAATTAGTTTAGGACAGGCAAGATATTAGGCCGAATCAGCTAACCATTGAGTTCGATGGCTTACTGTCCCCGTTACAAAAAGGTAGCTTATCATTTTCGCATCGAATTACCTTTTCAAATACAGGTGTTCGAATCCCGGCCCCAGGGGTCGCATTTCGGTGGGGGCGAAATGGCCCGTGTACTTTGCGATCTCGGTACACGATAAAGAAGATCAGATGGTCAAATTTCTCGGAGCCCCCCACTTCGGCGTCTCTCATAATCATGTGGTGGTTTTGTGACGCGAAACCCCGGATATAATTATTGTTACCCAATACAGATGAACTTTACCCGCCATGAAATAGCTAGCAAAATAAAATAAAAAAGCTCGCCCTCAGAAAGAGTGAGTGCATAATCTCTATGATAGTGCAGTGTAGCACCACTAATCTTGATTAAGTACTTTCCATCATGTCAAGCTTGGCGACGCGCTTGTGACAACGCAGGAATGACATGAAATTGTGCACGCACATCGCATCACGTTCCGTAATGCCGGTTGGCTGCTGCTTGCTCCAGAATTAGTTCCTCCTCGTCCGCTTGATCATTCTTAACACACAAGTGTTCTGTCCCTGCGTCATCCGAGTTTCGCCAACGTCACTTTGAACGCGAGCCGATCGCTAAGAACAATCAGGCGAGACATTACAACAGTGGACCTGCCGACAGTGCCGAGGGGTCGTGTGCTCTGAATTGGGTGCACGTAAAGAACCCCAGGTGGTCGAAATTTCCAGGAGCCCTCCACTACGGCGTCTCTCATAATCATGTGGTGTTTTTGGGACGTTAAACCCCACAATATCAATCAATCATGAACAGTGCCGAGGCGTTTCGTTCCACCGTTTCGCGTGGCCCGGAAACTAAGCTGCGCCTAGCACGTGCAATGAAATAACCCGGCCGGCCGGCACATTCTTCGTCCTCTTCTCCGTCTTATGATTGGCTATAAGCAAAGATGGTTTGATCTGGGCGACGTGCGTTCGAAAAGTGAGGATAGTTATAGTATTTTCTTTCTGTCGCCTTGCAACTTGGATCATTCGGCCAGGGGCCAGCACACCCATTGCGCTTGACACGATGGATGTGCAACGCAAGCAATTCTTCAGGTGCGTGTGCCATATGAAAAAAAAAAGCAAGAAAACAAAGAGAATCACGGAACAGAGAAGTGGAGGAGAAAAAAAAACAGACAATAAGTGAGAGAAAGAGACAGTGATAACTGAGACCTTCAGAATTAAGATCGTGACTGTATCTATTAGGGCCACGCTAAATCCTTGCTAATTAGTATCACGCTAATTAAGACAGTGCTAATAATGTAAAAGTCTCGGGTGATCGAAATTTTCACTACGGCATCTCATAATCACATCGTGGTCTTGGAAATTTAACCACATGAATATTAATAATCTAGATCGGTCATAAGCTCCGCTGATGGTTCAGCCTTGTACCACTAGTGCAATACACCCACATTTTTTTTTTTTTTTTAGCGAGACACTCGACTTGGAAATCGAAGCTACCTTTTCGTCTTCGAAGATAAGCTCCAGGCGCGCTGATTACAATGCTCTCGGCACATCCTTTTCTCTTTCTGCACTGTCACCGCACCCAAACTGGTACGAACGCACTTGGTATTCTTTTTTTAACGCACACACTCCCTCACTCTGCTGTATGGAAGTGCCATGCCGATCAATTACCAATAGAGACTTCGATACCGTGCAGTTGTTCGGATTTCTGATGTACAATCCCAATGAAACTGCTTATGTGAAGCCACGTTTCGCATTCGTGTTACACTGATTCCTGTTAAAGTGGGATCAATCATAACATTTTGTTCACGCCTATTTTACGCTTACTTCTGCTAACTTACATCAGAACATCGAATCAAGGTGTACAAGACACTCGTACACTGAGCTCAGCAATGGTGAACGCAATGTCATGTTGAGATTTTTTCTTTTTTGTTTAGCTTGCAGAGATCAAAAGAGTTTCACAAACGCCTTTTTGCTTGTTTTCTTTGTTGATCATCCCTGCGTTGTCACAGCTAAGATGAAGTTATTTGCTAAAACGCTTAGTTTCAATGCTGAAACTTCTACACACACCAATTCTCCGCTTCGTAAAACATGACACACGAAAGGCAGTGATGACACTTAAATCAATAAACCTTTGAACACCTATACAGTGGAATACCAAACAAGGAGAATGGAACCGGTATGGCACATTATAAAGCAGATTTGCCTCGTTTGCTTTGTTTCTGAGTTGACTTGGCGACCTACGAAATAACCCAAAAACTCAAAAAAAAAAGATTCAATACTTGCAAACTATAGCTTAAACTTGGAGCGACGATTTTAACTCGAAATACTTTGTTTGATTGCGCGCCCCCTTCAAATTCTACGTGAAATTCTCCAACACACACGTATACGTACACGCACGCTTCCCATAATCCATGAGCCAACAAAGCGCATTTGCTCCAGTAGGTTGACACCAGCAAGAGATTATATACACACACTCCTGTTCTACCATCCAATCAAACACCGGTGCTTTGCACAAAACTTAGATGATACTTTCAACGTTAAGGCAAGAATTGGCGGTGTAAATCAATAGATAATTGCACACAATTAACTGGCAAGATCGAGGTCCCCATATTACACCATGAAGGTGCATTATATGAGCAGCACAGGTATTTGCAGGGCTTTAATTCTCCGCAACATGAATATTTAAAACATGACAATTGAGCGGCCATGACTGTGCCACCGCAAGATGGAAGGGGCATTCTGAAGGGCATACGGACGAACAATGCACCTGTACAGCCTGGTAATAATTTGAAGTACTTAGTTGTTTACGCATTCTTTGTTTTTTTTTTCTTTGGTAGCAATAATACGAAACATGCCACACATGACCAATTTTTCGCTTTCAATGCCCGTGATTTGCAGATTTCGTTGAAAGTTGCCTCATGCTTCTTTCCTCTTTTCTACGTCGGCAGCTCGAGAGAAGACAATTGTACAAGGAGTGAGTGGAAAGTTCAATAATTCTGGCTAGTTTCATTTTTTTTGTTTGTCTATGAATGCCACCTCCCTCAATGCTTTGCAAACTGTGCACACCCATCAGGCAGCCTTATCACCAGCACCCACGGGAATCTGCACAAGACATATTTCAAACGAGTTGTCAAAGCGATAATGAAGGTCAACAATCGTGTTCAGAGACTTTGGGAAACCAAGAAAAGAGCTCAGGCAATTTAACCTGTGCCCCGCTATGTTTCGTCATTCTTCTTCCAGCAGGCCTCTCCCCAAAACTCACATCTGGTTACCAACACAGCTGTAGTACCACGTGCTTGCACGGTGGGATATGCCACATGCCAGAATTTATACACCGCCGCAAATAATGGAAATACGTATTTACATGCCTTCAGGTTCGACACTTGAGCCCCATAATAAGGCACGCGAGCAGCACCCTTTAACCCAATACAGCAAATTATAAGCCAGTCATTCGTTAAGCAAAGAGCATTTAGGTCCAACTTCCCGTCCAGCAGGTGTCTTCTGCGCAAAATGACAACCAAGACGAGAGGCTCCCTTAGTCTAGGATCGACACGACTGTCCAGAACACATCCGCAGCACACTTGCGCACTTTGGCCGACGTGGACTTTCGGCTCCTGGCCATCGTCTGAGATCGCACTCGCCCGGTGACAGGGGTGGCGCTCTGGTCGCTGCTGGGTGCCGCCAATGACAAAGGTGGCAGCGAGGGACGCTGCCTCAGCGCCAAGTTGGTCCTGAGTGCAGGCGTCAGTCGCTCCTCGCCAATACGGCCGTCCATGAATTCGAGCACAAGCGTTGCCTCACTGTCGTCCAGCATTGCCGGGGCTACGCGTCGAAACTGGTCGCGGTCGAGCAAGAAGTGACGAACCAGGTAGGCAGCGTCGCCCAGCGCTCGCCGCTTTTGTGCCGGCTCTGCAGCGTCGCCTCGGCGTCGGCATTCGGCGGCCGCCCAGCGGTCAGCACCCTTGGCCGCTGAAGCTTCGGACCTGTAATAGCAGCAAGAGCTGTATAACTTGGGCAACCCATTCTAAGTTAGTCGTAGAAATCACGCGCCTTTAAGGTACGTCAGGCATAACGCCGCCCTCGGTTAGTGGCTATATATAAGAAGGAAAGGAAATATATTTAAAAAATGTTTGTAGAAACTTTGGTGGTAACCAAGGTTGAGAGGGGCGAGGGGTTGGAAGCTCAAACCCCCTGAAAATTTTGAATTTTTCTTGCGTTATATACACGAACATTTACACACAACGCACGAACACATATAAAGTATGGTTGACCCCTCCCCCGAAAAAAAATCTTTCTCCACTCCTGTTGCTTTGTGACACCCGTGTAAGGAGCTAAGATATTGCCCTCGGTTCATTTCTTTTTCAAAAACTGTCTTATACTACATGACTAGTCTACACTGCCCGTCTTTTTCTTGTAAGGACACTCACTTTTTACTAATCAAAGCTCAAAAGGAGGATTTCTTGAAGGAAGCTAGAAGTGTCTTCTATTTCGCAAGTGTGGTCTGCAGTATATATGTACACGAACCTAAGCCACAGGGAGTCCCTGCCCAGCACGAGGGCAAAGATGGTGCGGGGCAAGCACTCGAAGGCGACGTCAGCGAGCAGCCACTCGGCGTTGCGGTCCACCACGTCCAGGCAGCGGGCGCGCGTCTCGTTCAGCAGGTTCTGTTGCAGGTCCAAGGCAGGGCCACCGCCGGAAACCTCGCAGAGCCGCGTGAGCGTCGACAGCGCCGTCTCCCTGTCCACGTGGTCGCCCACGTAGCGCAGGCACTCGGAGAGGAGCCCGGTGACGGCGAAAGCGTGGGCGACGCGCATCACGTCGAGTGCCGTGGGCACGTCTTCGAGACACACGTCCCGCCCGTACAGGAAGCTGCAGAGAAGACTCTACCTTAGTAACACTCATGTCGGCGCTCGGGAATGGTGGTGAGCATTGGAGGATACACGTACGAAAGTCTTTTCATAAAGTGTGTTTCGGGCATGTTTCACCACAAGCTATAGGGCCGGGTTGTTTCATGTTCTAAGACGCGTAAACAACGGCTACATGAGCACATGTTCAAGGGCGTATAGCCAGACCGGAGGGGTTCAAACCTTCTACTGCAGGCCGTGGTCCGAAAGTTTAGTTTATCGGGTGTTCTTTAACGTGCATTAACATTGCACAGTACGCGGATCCCTAGCGTTTCGCCTCAATCGAAATGCGACTGTCGCGGCCGGGATTGTCTTTGCTTTCTACGATCGGCAATGCAAAGTAGCTATTAATTTTTTGTTATTAATAATTAACCGGAAACACATGAAATTTATGATTCCGTTCCCCGAGTGCATCAGGCTATTATAGTTAAGATTACGTTCTCACGAATCAGCTTCATCGCGTGATCTTCATCGCAGGGTACAAGGAGACACAAGCACTCCGTTACAGAACAGTGTCTTCAGTGCAGTAAACATATTTTGCGCATCATATCTTTCGTATTGTCCACACAAGAAATCGGCATTATGGTCGTGCACATTGTCTGTAGCAAGATATACGCGACTGTGCAAAACCACAATGCCATGTAGTAATATGCGCGTGTCTCTTCATTTGTGGCACTTTACTTCCAAACAATTCGTCTCCGCAAGGAGGAACGCAGGACCCACTCACGGTATCATCTTCTCAAAGGCGTCAGGGTCTGCCCAGACGACACGCAGTGTCCTGGTTTGCCGCCCAGAGTCCGCATCGTCGCACCGCGCGAGCAATTCTTGGAGCACTACGCTATGTTTGAGTGCTGCAGCGTGCACCCAGATGGACCGGGTCCCCCCGGTCTCGGGACCAACGACGAGGGTCACGTCGGGCTGCTCCGGGAGCCGCAAAAGGTCCGTCGCCTCGGGCAACGGAGGTGCTGTGGGCCTCGCCGGGTGCCGCGGGTGGAGGACGCCTGTAGCTGGAGGGTAGGACGCGCAGCTGCACAGCATTGGCTCGGTCTGCGTGCAGCGGCTCCTTGCGGGCACGGGACGCCGAGGGGCGGCCATGGCCGACGTGAAGGCGGCCGGGCGGCCGCCGCCTCGGGAACCCGGCGCCCGGCGCCTGCCGTTCGTCCGGCCCTGCACGATGGGGTCGGGTTAAGTCACCATCAGCATTGAAGAAGAATGGCAATTTGGTCTAGTTGGTTTGAATTCATGGTAATAAGGGCTGCAGCGCGAGCACAAATGTGCTAGAAGAAACAGATGAAAGTCGAGGCACGGAAAGCAAAGAGGACAACACGAGCGCTGGGCACGGAAAGCAAAGAGGACAACAGCGCTCATGTTGTCCTCTTTGCTTTCCATGCCTCGACTTTCATCTGTTTCGTCTAGCACATTCGTGCTCGCGCTGCAGCCCTTATTACCATCACCATCAGCAGCAGTAGCAGTCACGATGTAACGCGACTGTAATAATCTGAGTCGTCATGTGAATCCGCATACTTAGTGCAGGAGAGACGGCTATAGCCGTATACCTAGCACCATATGTACGATCACCTTTGTAATACAAATGTTATCTGTACTGTCTGTACACTCTTAATCAGGTCTGGCTTAAGGTGCTGGATATTGCCAGAAGAGCAGACATTTTTTATATGGCTTCTCAGATACAGCCAACATTTTAAGAGGACGTGATTAAGAGTATATTGACAATGTTCCTATGGTTTTAGCAGTCACCAACCCTTGCACGTACGGAGCGATTGGCGGGCTACAAAACAGCATTTAACGTAAACTGACACGACTCAAGAAGTCTGTCTCTTTTGATCTTGATACACCTCTTTATGTACGTTATAGCAGTATTTCATATAAAAGTTCTAGACACAGTAATTGAAGCAGTAATATCGTTGCTACTAGCATATAGTGACGTACATCTTCATACACCGTCTATGAGAATAAGTTCAATGCGTTAATTCGTGTTATTCGTACGTTCAAAGCAAAGAGGATCCGATATGAAATATATTTTATTCGTCGTACGGTCCCTTTAACGTCCAACTGCAGCGGAATTGCAGAGAAGGCCGCCCAACAGAGCTGGATGACCTTTTCTGCAATTTCGCTGGAGTTGGACGTTCTTGCTTCTCTTAATTTCCTTTTTCTTTTTCTCTTTCCTTTCTTTACCAGTTTTTTATCACCGTTTCTTTTTATTTCTTTATTTCTCTCGCCATTTATCTCTTTCTGTTTCTCGCTATTTCCTTTTCTTCTTTTTTTCTCTCTTTCTATTTCTCACTCCATCTCTCTTTCTTTGTACTTGTTCTCTTGCCCATACAAGTTACTGCATCTCACGCCAGGCTAATTGGCGCACTTATTCCGAGACCGAAGCAGAAGATAAAGAAGAGGACAAAGAGAGCGCGTATCGGCCAAGTTATATCGCTCATGTTTAAAAGGCTCCTACAAAAAAAAAACAAAAAAAACTTGATTTCGTTTTTACGGGCCTCCCGATAGCTCAATTACGGGCTTTCCAGGTTCTCTCAAAATATCTCCTTCATCTTTTAACTGAAAGACCTCCGACTTGAAGTTGTTGGAAATAAACTTGACAACTGCGGCGCATGCCCGACCGAGTTGTTTGGTCCACCGTACAAGGAAGGGTTTGCTGAGCAGCTTCGCTGTTAAAATGTACTTAAATACAACATTCACCATTGCTTACTAGACGTCAAGCGCCTTTCGAAATTTTCAGATGGTTGACTTTTCCATGCAGACACACGTCTGTTTCGCGAATTTTGCGACGAATTTACCGGAAGCTTCAGGTAAATTTCGTCAGAGATTCTGTCAACGCTGCTCACGTTAAACGTAATGCTTTAGGCAGTAACGACGGACACTGAACTCCTAACAGGCATAGTACTTACATAAGCCGAAAAAAAGTACTAACGGTTCAAGCGGAAACCAGGACAAGAGCTTTTTTGCAAGCGAACGGCCGGTGTGCAGCGATTCTGCTTAGCCGGGGGCTCACATTTTTGTTAGGTTGTTACCGTATAGTACATGAAAATAATATATCGCTGACTGAAAGCCTTTAAGCGACGGCTTGCCCGTTTTTGTCCCCTTGCGGTACACATCATAAAACCCTTTTTTTCCAGCTCCGGTTGACGCAACGATCAGACGTATAGCAGATCGCGTGAGTGCGGGAAATAATTCTGACCCTCTGCCCCTTCAGTCGGTCGCGTGCAGAAGAGGGGTCCTCGACGCGGAACATCTGGCGGCCGAAGGAAACGATGGTTGCGCCAGCGGTGGCGATTCGTTTGTTTCGCACGCTCTGTTCTTTCTCGGTGTGTGCGCGCGGAAAAAATAAAGGCGCTTGGGCGAGTCTCGGATATTCTAAACGACTGATCCCAATTCGAGCATTACTGATAACTAACAGTTGTTGGGGTAGTTACGTCCCCAAAAAAAAACCACGATATAATTATGAGAGACGTAGTAGCGGAGGACTATAAAAAAATTTCGATCACCTGAGGTCCTTTCACGTGCACCTAAGCCTAAGCACACCTGCCTCTAACATTTCCCTCTCCGTCGAAATTGAAAAACATTCGATCTGGCGAGCTTCGAGTCAGTAGTCAAACGACACAACCGCTATAAACCATTGGAACGGGCAACCTTTACTGAACGCAACCGCAGTCTCCAGCAATGAAAATTATTCGTATTGTTTTGTCCGTTCAAAACGACTCTATTACCGTTATAAATGCTTGCAGGATTGCGGAAAAAAAAATCTCCTCAATCGACAATGTAATACGACACAAGATGCTTCTATGTGCAGTTTGAAATGTCCAGCATAATATTGACGGTTTAAGCACTGCAACTGATTTTCGCAAATGCTTTCACCAATCTAATACACCTCTCTTTATTAATAAAAGGTCAAGTAATCTAGAACAAGGTTTATGTGATCTAGCTAACGCATCGACTGTCGCTGCCTTTTGAAGAGTTGTGAAAAAGAACACAACAGTTAGAGAAGCAGAGCAGAAAGAAAGCGTATGAAACCAACAAAATCTAAGCCAGCCTCAATTTTTGGAGCGGGTAGTTTTATTTTATAACTTCACCCCGCGCTTCAAAGCTATAGACAGTCAGAACGGCAGCATTCCTCGTCTGCAGAGGTGTACTAGGCATTCTTTCCCGACCCTCGCAAAACGAGCGCACAAAGGGACCATGCCTAAGCACGAAGCGACTCAGTCTGTCGTACGTATGGAGTGACACAGGCCTATACACGTACGCAATATGAACCTAGCAAATAAAGAAGAGTGATCACACCGGAAGGACTGCACTGTTGTTGTTGTTGTTCGGATCAGTCAGCCGATACCGGCGTGGGAGCCAAGCTTCGAGCGCATCCCCAAGAACACGAGAGCTGCAGAGCGACAACGATGACCGACACAGCCACGCGGGGGCCTTGAACGACAACGGCAGTAGGATGAAAATATTTACCGGACGGGGTTCACAAGCGAAGCTGAAAAGCTCACGAGGACCCCTAAGCATTCACCTCAGACGACTCGAAGCATTGAAGTATCGAAGTATTCTTCACAGTTTGAAGTATATGCATGCCACGAAAAAATGCCTGCGTTCGGTTCCTGCTGGAATGCGGACTTTTATTCTTTACACTCGTCGGGTCATGGCTGCCGATTCAGTCTTCGTGATAGCTTGTCCCATTTTTCTTGGATGTAATAAGATGAGACCACTACCGATCACCGTTGCCGGATTTTCTTAACGCTTTCGCGTCTGTAGGTTTCCTCTTCAATGTTCCTCGCTAAGTATAAACTGTGCATCAGCCGTGGAGCATATATCTCATGCACCGTGACCCGTGGTAGATGGTTATGTACCACGCATGACTTGGGAAAGAGTTTTATGACTTACACGAAAGGATTTTCTTGATAGTATACTGACCAGAGTGTCATGCTCATGATATACTTATATGGCTGTTTCAGTCTAAACCATTTAAGGCGGTGACCCCGAGAGAACGCAGACGTAGGCGGATAGATAGATAGGTAGAAGCAATCCCTCGACAGCCCACAAGGCAGTGAAAGTCCTCCTGTGTTTCTTGAGGACGACGGGTTTGTGCGAACGCCTCTGACTTGCAGTGGAGTTCTACACGCTGCAGTGAATGTACTTTCTGTCTCTCCTTTTTTCTTTTCCTTCTCTTCCCTCTTTTTCACCTTCATTGTCCCCTTCTCTAATCCCCCAGTGTAGGGTAGCCAACCGAATGTCTTTCTGGTTAACCTCCCTGCCTTCCCCCCTTTTGTTGCGTCGTTCTTCAAAATGCCGTCGTTTCACCCAGAAATGCTTCGCGTTAAAAAAGAAAATACGGGTTAATTCTATATCTGACCGTGATTGCCCGTGATCGTGATGTGGGACCAAACTCCCGAAACACATGACATAGTTCCCTTTTTGTTTTTGTTACACTACACTGCGAACTACATATAGCAAGATACTTGAAATGAAAGACGCACTGGGGATCTTGCCAAGGGTAGATATCGGGGACCGTGAAGTAACGGAGTGCACGCTTGTACGCACGTTTTATTAAAATGAGCACGCTACGCCGTCTGAACTCGTGTTCATTGTATATATCTATCGGGGCCTTTGTGTATACTGTGAAACCGCCTTTAGCACTCGAAGCTACCTCGCGCCGAATTTCGAGCGTGTATAGCTGTAACGAAAAACAACATGTTGTCAAGAGGCGCCGCCCCTCTACGTTCCCGATCAACGTCCGTTACCGACATCGCCTATCACGATTTCTATTCCGACTGCTGGGAAAGAACAAGGAACTCTATAAAGAGCCCTCCCAATTGATTTCGTCGTTTCGAGCGAAAACGCGTGCATCTCACGCCGAGCGCGAGGAGGGCGCCCCGTCCGCCTAAGGAAGCTTCATTCAATCCCGTGAGCCTCCGGCCAGCAGCTGCATCGGCCCGCTGCGTGCTTCCTGGCGTGTTTTAAAACCGCGCCGGGGTCGGCCACCGCTGGGCTTCTTGCGCTACGAGGGGGCGGGGAATGACCCCCACGATTCTAGATCACTGTTCCCATGCTGCGGCCGGATTCGCGGAAAAGCCCGTCGGCGACCGAGAAGAGAAGTACCTGTGCACTTCGCAGGTCATTTCTCCATCAACAATCGGTGCAGTGGT